GCGCGCGCCTGGGGCTGGCTGCCATTTTCTGGCGAGGCGTGTGCTGAGGCGGTCGCAGGTGAGAGTCGTTCCCGCGTTCCCGCTATAGCGAGGTCTGGCCTCCCCCTAGGCACGTAATAGTGCAGCACGGGCCCTTACAGCGGCTCCTGGACGCCCTACAAGCCCTCGTAATGGGGCTTCCCTCTCCCCGCTGCCTTATCCCCCACAGCAGCGGCCTGGCCTCTCTTCAGGTCCCCGTAATAGGGTCTGTCGCTCCCCCTCGCCCGCCTCATCCCCCATAGCAGCGCCCTTGTTTCCCCTCAGGCCCCTGTGGAAGCCACTTGGCATCCCTCCTACGGCGGTAGCCGGCGCTTGGCCTCCCCCCGTCGTGCGTTTCCTGTCGCAGTGGCGTCCCCTTTCCCAGGGCCCCATAAAACTAGCCTCGTCTGCGCCCCCAATCCCTGTAGCAGGGGTTTAGCCAGGCCCCCTTAACCGCCCACGTCGCAGCACCTCAGTAATAGCTTGGCCTTCCTGCAGCAGAGAGCTCCAACGGTACCAGCCATCCTGTGGCAGCCCAGCCCCTATTGCAGATCCTGGCGGTGCTCTTCCCTAGCAGATCGAGGTGCGTGCCGGCCCCCCAGGCACCGATGTGGGACGGCTGCCACGCGGGGGGCAAGGGCTGCCAGGGAGGGACGTGTTTTGTAGGTACAGAGAAGGGGTATTGACCTTCCCTGTCTCCATAGGAGATGGGGTACAGCATCGATGTACATGACGATAGGGAGGCACTACAGAGAGACTTGGATAGATTGGATCGGTGGGCCAGTGTTAGTGGGATGAGCTTCCACAAGATTAAGTGCCGGGTCCTGCACTTGGGCCACAACAACCCCTGCATGGCTACAGGCTTGGGGAGGTGTGGCTGGAGCTGTGGAGGAGAAGGATCTGGGGGTTCTAACTGACAAGCAGCTGAACATGAGCCAGCGGTGTGCCCGGGTGGCCAAGAAAGCCAACGGCATCCTGGCTTGTATTAGAAATGGTGTGACCAGCAAAAGTAGGAGGCTGATAGTTTCCCTGTACTCTGCGTTGGTGAGGCCACACCTCAATACGAGAGAAATATTGAGGTGCTGGAGCGAGTGCAGAGGAGGGCAATGAAGCTGGAGAAGGGCCTGGAGAATAAATCCTGTGAGGAGCGATAGAAGGAGCTGGGACTGTTAGAGGAATAGAAGGCTGAGAGGAGACCTCATCACTCTCTACAGCTCCCAGCTGGTCTCTTCTCACAGATAATTAGTGACAGAACAAGAGGGAATGGCTTTAAACTCCAACAGGAGAGGTTTAGACTGGACATTAGGAAAAAATTTTTCACAGAAAGAGTGGTCAGACAGTGGAATAGGCTTCCCAGGGAGGTGGTGGGGTCACCCTCCCTGGATGTGTTTAAGGATCGTTTAGATGAGATGCTGGGGCATGTGGTGTAGGGGAGGACTTTGTAGAGTAGGGCTGGTGGTTGGACTCGGTGATCCCAAGGATCTTTTCCAACCTAAATGATTCTGTGCTGGCTCTGGGTGAAACGAAGCTCAAGAGCCTACAGATAACAAAGCCTTAGTGCTGCGTGCTTGCGCACCTTGGGCTTTCTGTGGTGGGGTGGGAGGTGCCCTACACAGATTAGGCAGGCCTCAGTCATGATACCAGTAGAGGGATCCTGCCTTGGCAGAGGAGGGAGCTATGAGACTGGATCTCTCACTTTCCCTTGGAGAATCCTTTTTTAGTTCATCGTGTGCCTTTCTGTTGTCTTGCTTCTTGCTGGCCACTTTTCTCCAGCCTTCAACCCCTGTCTTGCCATATTCCCTGTGGCCTGCACTATTTTTTCAAGTATCCAGTCCATGGCCTTTCACCTAGGCTGGCCAGTTGTCAGGCTCAGAGTCCCATGACCCTGTTACTGTATGTAACTGAGCTGCTGCAGGTGAGCTGTGCCTGGGCTCATCATGTGCACGTTCTGATGCTGTTCATGGAGTGGAGCTGTGATCAGTATCCTCCTGGCTTCTGTTCCCAATAACCTCAGCTCACCCATTTGTTCTCTGTTTTTTCCTGAGATACAGCCTGTTCTTTTCACTTCATCCTGCCTAAGCCTGCAACACCAACCCTGTTCCTTTTCCCCACCTGTCTGTCAGGGCCCAGGCTGCCCTGTGGCAGTGTTCATCCTGTAGGTACTTGCTGAGGAAGACTGCGATACAGGTGAGTCCTCAGCATGGGGAAGGCGTTCTTGGTGATCTTTTGGATATGCCTTTTCAGGATCCCCAACTCCAGTAGCTCAGCGTGCCCTTTAGAGGAAAGGTTGTAGCTAATTGCAGGGAGGGTGCCTTTGCACAGCAGTTGCAGTGTGAGTTTCTGGTAATGGATCCTTTTCCATTTTTAGCACTGCAGAATGGAGAACTATAAGAAGACCAAAATTGTGGAGAAACCTTGTCCTCATCCTTTCACTGACCTGCCCCCTGATATTATTGAAATGAAAGTGAAGGATGGGAGCAAAATCAGAAATCTGATGGGCTATGCCATCAGCAAGATGGAGCTGGACTCGGTGAGGCAGATCCTTTTCACTGGCTCAGGCAAGGCTGTCAGCAAGACTATTACCTGTGTGGAAATCATGAAACGAAGGCTCAAAGAGCTGCACCAGATCACCAAAGTGCTCTTCAAACAGATCGAAGAGATCTGGGAACCGATTGTGCCTGAGGCAGGCCTCGATGCCTTGACAGTGAAGAGAAACATTCCTGCCATATGTGTCCTACTCAGCAAAGATGCCCTCGATCCTCAGGAGCCAGGATACCAGGCTCCGGGCTCTTTTGATGGCTTCTGGATCAAGACCCTTAAAGCAGAGTCCCAGGGCCAAATGAAGAGGAAGCAGGGTGGAGGCAGGGGAGCTAGCAGCACGGGAAAACACCCTCGGTCTGCTGGAGGAGCATCTGGGGAGCCCTGTGCCAAGTCCTGAAACACTGATGCCATGTGTGGGTGTAGTTTGGGGGAGTTACAGAAACAAGCCAGCTGCTGTTGTAACTGGAGAGCTGCTGCGGAACGTGGGGGCTTGCAGAGTTGTTAGGGGAAGGCAGGAGAATGTTTCAAAATGAATGTGATTGTAGCTGTCTGAAACTGTGTTTTGACAAGTTCCCGTGTCAAAGGCTGCCAGGCTGTACTCCTTACCGTGCGGTTCAGGGAAGGCAGGAGTCATCTCTGCTTGAGCAAGGACTGCTGGCATCTGGTCAGCGAGCCCCAGTGAACGGCTCTTTGCTGAGCGGGGTTTCAGCTGCTCGGGGTGGTGCGGCAGCCCAGGTAGCAGCTGTGCCTGCCGGGTGCCTGCCTGTGTGGCCGGCGGAGGAAGCTCTTCCTGCGGTGCAGAGGGGAGATAGGACCCCATCCCGTGTTGCCGGATCTCATGGGGCTGCATTGGCCACTGCTGTGCCTCCGAGTGCCGTCTGCTGAGCTTGTCAGGTGGTTGGAATGTCGGACTGCGGGGATACGACTCCGTCTGCGTGCACGTAGTGCCCTTTCAGCCCTCCCTTCACCTCGGTGGAGCTGACTGTTACACCCCTCTCTACCACAGTGTCAGGAGTCGACTTGTCACAACCAGCTTGAAATTCTGTAGCTGCGTGAGTGCCCTGGGGTGGTAACAGTAAGCTCCAAAGGATCCTGTTCTTTCCCCTTTCTGCTTCTTTATAATGCACAGAGATGGGTTTAAAATAAAGTTTCCTCTTCATGTAACGTGAGATTTGTCATGTCTTCCTCATCCCACTGGAGGTCACCCTATCAGCGCTGTTGGTGGGGCTGCTGCTGCCGGCTGAGTCTGCTCTTTCAGCTCTCCTCCAGAAAGAGGGGACCTGCTGCTCAGTGTTCTCTTCTCGTGGCTGTAAATGGACCCTGATGCTAATGGGGAAAGGTTTTTCCCTGTCTTTGCCATTCAGCTTTAATGCCCAAGAAAGGTCAAGGTTGGGTTTTTTTTTTCTGGGAAGCTTTTTGCTAATTTTCCCTTTTTGTTCTTTTAAACTGACTAGAACTGCAGTTGCAAAAAGAGTCAGCCCAAACTCACCAGAGTGAAACAGAGGATGGAGCATCTTTCTTGCAGTAATTCCTGTAGTTCTTCCAGTAGTTTCCCTTTTGGAGCAGCACTGGTAAGTACCGCTGAGCAGGAGGAAAGTGCTGTTCCCTGTGATGGGCTGAGCTCTTGCCAGAACAAGCACTGCTCACACCATGTCCTGGGCCCTGCCCGTTCTGCCTGCTCTCTTCCTGGGTCACTGCCTGTGTTGACGAGCTCCAAGTGGACCCAGCGCTCTGCTTTGTCGACAGGGAAAACAATACAAGTATTTAAAGATGGGATTTTTACCTAACTTGGGGGAGCAGGAGAGAGCGAGCCTGTTACCCATGAGACCCGATGCTCTCACAGACAAGATTGGGAGCACAGTGGCGGGTTTGCAGCCCCATCCTCCTCCCCTCCCTTCTCTGGGTGGTCTCGTCACCCTCAGCCCCAGTGAGGTGGTGGTGGAAATCCCAGACCTCTCTGCCAGCGCGGGTGAAACCTGGGGACAGGGCAGAGTTAAGCTGATTTGTTTTGGTGCTCTCCCCAGCTGCTGCTCCCTTACATCTAAGGAGGCAACTGCTTTTCCCGACTAATTAGCAGATTAGCAATAAATGCCAAGGAAGGATGCTCGAGTGATCAGACTGCTTCTGACATGGCAGTGAGCAATGTCTTCTTGTTTGTTTACTGTTCAGAACAACCTCTTTGCAGAGATGGATCCTCAGACAGCCTCTGTGAGCCTCCCTCCCGGCGGCGGAGCGTTTAACACCTTCCTGTCAAAGCTGTGAAATTATTTTTACTTTTGTTTCGCTGTTTGAAAGTTACCCTTGGTTGATGGTGGCAGCCCTGCTGCAGCTTTGCTTCCAGGGGGCTGGAGAGGGAGCAACTGGCAGGTCAGCCAGGAGAGGTCCTCGGCTCTCTTGCAGATCTGTTCCTAGTCCATTTTCTGTCCAGCTGCCTGTTGCCCCTGGCGTGACACACCGTGGGGCTGCAGCAGATCCCCCTCCAGCTCCCCGCGTCCCCACCCACCGCGTGTCGGTGCTGCCAGGCAGACGCGTGGCCTGGCTGTGGCTTTTCAGAGCAGCTGCAGGTGCTGGGACTGGGTCCCTGGGGATCTCCAGGACCCTCTGCAGCTGTCGGGAGAGGCCCCTATGTGTCCCCAGCCCCCTCCGCTGGGTGCCATGTCTGTGTCCTTCTCCAGGAGTGCCCCAGCTTTGCACCGCACACCGGAGCGACTGGCTCCGGTCCCCATATCGGGGCTGGCGGTTACGGCTCAGCAGGGGCGCGGTGTGCCTGTGCCCGGGGACGGGCAGCCCCGTGCTTCAGTTTCCCCCCTGAACTGCACGGGGAGGAGCCGGCTGCACCTCTAACGCCGCTGCTGCCCAGACTCCCGGGGCACCGAGTGTTCTTAAGTGACCTGTCCCGCCTCCTTCGGTGCCTGTGCCCACCCCTGCCTGCCTGCGGCCCCCGTGTCCCGGCAGGGACCCCGACCCGGCCCTGGCCGCGCCACCCAGCGCGTGTGGAAACGTGTGGCACGGGCGGGTCGCAGGGCA